AGAGAGCAGAGAGGGCGAGGTCAACATTGAATATATCGGACTAACCTAGAGCCTGGCAAGTGATGGCCATCTGATAACTTCTCACTTGAACCTGAATCAAACACGGATCTGCCCGGAACTTAGTCTGCACATTGACCATGTGTTTTCTGTTTGCTTGCCTCGATTTGCCTCACCGGATGCCGAAGCCCCGACGGTGTGTGGGCGTCCTTGTGGTTGGCTGTTACCAAGACTTTATACTCCTGGATTCTTGGACAACGTTAAGCGGTATGGCAAAGATCTTAGTATTATCTTGTCCTAAATTGCAATGTGTCAGGGTACGGCTAGGCCGAAGGCAATAGTACAGAGTGATGGGGAGTAACGGGCGTCCCTCCTACGTAATACCGAGTGGTCACTGGCGGTCTCAGGTAGGGCTGCCCACGGTGATGCATTGATCTCTGCTCCTTCCCTGTCCTACTTCGAGATGGTCCTTATATAGATAGCTAGGCCGCCGCTTGGACCCGGCATAACAGCAGGGTCGGCGATGCCAAGGATCTTGACTCTCGTCATCCCAAAGCTTCACATAGATTGTAATCATGACTCGGGAGTCTTTTGTCCGAAACACCCCTCCGGCGCCCCACCGGTGTCTTGCGTTCAGTGTCCTGACACCCACCGGTGCCTATGGCATTCTGTTCTCTGACACAATGAGAAAGTTGTTCTCCGGCCCTGCCCTGCCGGCACACAATGACATTGATACCGATTCATCTCCCTGACAAACCATTTCGCAATCTATCCGACATTTGTGATTGGTTGAAATCTTAGAACACCAACCTCCTGGAAAGATGGATGGCAGCATCATATACTTCCAACATCTATCATATACATACACTATTTGGCACTAAGACTCGAGGAGAATCGAATTATGATATGCATGTGTTGACCTTGCATCTCTCACTCTGTGCTATCGACCCATCAGCACTGTAGTAAAGGTCGACCATTGGCCCCGGCATTAGTTCTTTTCGTAGGTCTGCCAGCAACATAGCGATCGCAATGCATATAATCAAAGCCACACTGGCCCGACTGACTTTGTGTACTCCCAAAGCTGGCCGAAAGGAATTGGCACATAGATCACTCCGAGATTCCTGTTCGCAAACCACCCTGTCGTATACGAGCAGCGAAACGACCTCCAAACCTGCCGCGACTCAAATGCACCACCGGCACCAGAAGAATCAGAGTCAACGGAAGCAGCCGCCCTCGGACCATGCTTTCTGTCTGGTGTGAGTGTCATGAGGACCACGATTGTATCGATATCATCCTTGTTCACGGCTTGAATGGCCACCGTGTATGCGCTTGGATCAAGTCTGGTGTCTGCTGGCCGAGAGACTTGCTATGGGGCGAAATGCCAGAGGCCAGAGTAGTAAGCAAAGCTCAAGTTTTGCCAAGTTACATCTCTGTATATGACTTGACATCGAGTGGTAACTCTTATCAACAGCAGTGGGGATGGTCTCTTGGCATGCACAACCCAGCCTCTTCACCCAGATTAGCCGATTAGTCTCAGCTGGGCAACCGCCAGCGGAATGATATCTGCAAGCTTCGTAGGAGTACAGGCACGGCTCGCCCCATTATCTTTATCAGCCAAGATATCGACAGCATCGTGGTCAAACAGGCCATCACCACAGTCGCCACGGCGCGAATCTACGACAGCAGCGTCGTGTTTCTTGGTACACCGAACACGGCCAGCGTGGGTCGCAGTATATACGAGACACTCGTTGCTGCCGCCCACCTTTCCCCTCGTCCGCCCGATCCAACCCTTCTAGTGTAGCTGGCCCAGGGGTCCGACGTGATGGATAGGTCAACCAGGATTTCATTCTATTCACGAGAGACCTTGGTCGTCTGTGTGAGGAAGGATTGTCCTACAAAGCAAGGGCCGGTATTTGTTAAATTTACGTCATTAATCGAGCACTTCTGGTGTTGCAGTGTAGTGTCATGAGCGAGCCGAGCTGACTATGATGGTGATGGCGTTCCAGATGATTACTAAGGCTTCGTCATCGTGCGAGGGCGGTCAGAATCTGACCATGGACTGTATACGCGCTAACCACTTTGGTCTGGTATGCTTTGCTAGCAGAACAGATCTAGGTTACTTCTAGATCCTTGGTTACTTAAGTAAACTCTCCTAGGGACCTTCTCAGACTGTTGAGTACACCAGCCTTGTTCTAGGTCGTATTATAGGATCGGGGTTAGCCCTTAATATAAAACCAACTATCTTATAGAGTTCGAGGAAGATAGGGACGAACGTAATTAGGGTACGTAGAAGCTCAACGCTTGTTCATTCTTAGCTTATTCCTTGTATTACTTTATGGAACTCCGATATTAGGTACTAAGCAGAAATGCTAACACACTTTACTTTGAAGGTATACTCAAGAGGGAAAGTCGTATTATAATTAACGATATATATAAGAATCCTGCTCCTGATATTGACGGCCAAAATAAAGGGGTAATCTACTTCAGTATTTCATAGCTAGCTGACCGCAGAAGACACGCTGTTCTAGATAAGTGGAAGAGCTGGATCGGGCAAGTCCACGCTTATGAATTACGCTTTCCATGACCCGGAAACAAGACGGAAAATGGGCTAATGGGCCGAGGGCGTAGTCAGAAAAGGCCATCGCTCAATATTGTGCCAGCCGACTAGCGCTGGACGCTCCTCGCCTGTCTGATGCGCATTGCGCATTCTCCGTGTCCAAAGGTCGCGTCCAGGTCCAAAGGGCAACTTCTGCGGGCTCGAATGGCCATGGAAATACTGCTCGAGAGCTCTATGAAAGTCATCGTGCCGACACTCGAGGCCTTGCCTACTCAACTGGGTGACTTGAGACTGTGCATTCATATGCTTCAAAACCTCAGGCATGAACAGCAGCGCGATGCTGCCCGTATTTCCAACTTATGAAGGAAGCCCAGCGGGTGCACGCACCGTCTTTACTAACACTTGCATTTGTCCTACACTGCGTGAATGACGGTGACAAGTTGTATACCACCTCATATGATCAGGACCAATTATTTACTATTCAACATCTGCAGCAACTGCGACAGTAAATGCAAAACCGTCGGGAAATATCCATTTCCCGACCCTTTACCGCCATGTCAGGCATATACAATGCTTTGGGTCCTAGGGTAGTTCTTGGAGGCGTGGCCGCCCACACGAACACGCATCATGCCTACGGCATGGCTGCTCATTGCCAACACCTTGCAACATGCAGCGAGTTTTGAAATGGATATTACCGACAGCCATGACGCGAAACGCAAGTGACAGTACCTAGAGTTGCTGGGCCAGCTCAACAGGATCTGCCGAAGGGTGTGGGTTGACTCACTCAGAGCTTCGCGCCCCTTTTTGAAGATGTCGAATGGTTCACTTCAAAATGTCCTGCGCTTTGCAAGAGCCACCGGGCAGGCTTCGAGCTCATGGAGGCAGGCAAGCGCCCAAAACGCCATGACCTTTTGTCCCTGGCCGTGCAGACCAACCTGATTAATTACGTATCGACTCGGCTGCCATGGTACTTGGAGGCAGAGCAAGATGAGGTACGGCGCACCAAGCCGCAATAACTCCTACGTGTGGCCGTGAGTCCCAAGAGCGATGGGATTTCGGAGTGCGCAGCCTTCACGGGCGACTACCGCGACTTCTACTGCGACATGCCCGACACGGCGCGGTTGCCAGCTCGAGGATCTGGGCCGAGATGGTTAAGGGTGGAAGACCGTACTTTGCGATACACAGGTCGGGCGCGAGCTCGGGCATGGGTATTGGATTGAGCAATGTGACTGGTGGTAGTACAAATATGTCGGCGCTGACGCGGAAGCGGCCGGGGTTGCTGCTGTTAAAGCTATGCTTTTCCACGGTGCCGATCCGCATATCCCAGTGGAGTTCAGGCTTGGCAGTACTCAGGACGGACGATGGGTCGTCGATTGAGGCGAGGCCGGCTATTGCCGTTGAGCGTCACATTCTTCAGGGCGAGCCCGAATATGAACACGAGATGGAACAGATACATGTCATCGTCATTATCTTTTGCAAGCACTATTGATGATGACGATGTTTCTAGGCCTTTGCTCTTTGCTCCACCACTTCCGATTTCGCATCTGCTGCGTCGTCGGTCTGGCTTCATGGTCCAAATGATGAATTTAATGATGAATTTAGGTTCCTATGCCTCCGCTGTACCCAGGGTAAGTAGGTTAAATAGTTAATCATGTGAGAAGGCTTCATCTCATGGCTCATATTTTCGCCGAACATTTCCGCAACAACATTAGTAGGAAATGGAAGTCACAACTGGAAGACTCCGTGGGCTGAAAATGATCACTCCGTTTGCCGACAAGTAGACTGAAGATGACGACCGAGACATTCAACTGTCCGAGAATGGTGGCCATAGCCAGGCCGTGGAACTTCTGGCGATGCATGCTGACCATGGAGAAATTTTCCAAACGCAAGTGGTCAAAAGCTCTTCAATGTTCAGTCTTAACCCGCGACTGCCGAGAAATCAACGTGCGTGAAGAGTATCTGTTCCGCCTCGAGTTCGCTCTTTCCTCGCATGGCTGGGGCACATGCAATGAGTCTACTATCCATCAACTTCGTTACGGCAGTTGCGATAGACCAAAGTTTTCCACCTTGCAGGCTTTCTTAGATGAAATCGATTATCCCTTCTATGATAGATCAACCAGTTGTGCTGGGAGTATCATAAAAATCCTGAAGTCATCGACGTTCAATGTTTTGCCTGGCTGAAGGCGGGACCGGCATGTCTATCAAATGTCTGTAGGTGGGTTCACATCCAATACGGCGACATGCTTCACATACATGTTTGGAGTGCGCTGTCGTTAACTTCCCTATTCGTTGTCCACGGTTTTCCCTATGTGACGAAATTTTTATGATCATTTTTAAGGCTCGACCGCGGCAGTAAAAATACGTTCGTCGCCCTTCAGATCCCTAGCTGTTCCAGAACTCCAGACCGACACTGCAGAGGCCGACCAGTCACTAATCAACGACGACAATGCCACACCGCAAAAGAGACAGCGCATCAAAGCAAAACCAGGACTCTGTAGACGATGCGGAATGGCGCAGAACACCTGCCTACCTGCCTCCGAGCCCATCCCGATCTCCCTACATGGCTCCGCAGTCGCAAACTCCAGTGCCGCAACATCGCATCCCGCCCTCATTCCTTGCCCGTCTCGGCATTACAAGCAAGAGAAAGCATTATTTGCAGCGCAGGGACCCTACACTTGACTACCGCGACCGCTGGCCGACCGTTACTACTCTGGTAGAACCAGGTTCCAGCTCGCGCTTATTTGACCTGCCCGACGAAGTAGCGGAGCGAGCACATCGCCCGGTCAAAGCCAGGGCACTCGAGGCTGTAAATGCGCCGCTGGAATGGTTGAACGACCGATTGGGAATGGTCCAAGAACGACTCGAGCACAGGATCGAGCTGGCTGAGGCAAGAGCACAGAAGCGGCCCAGCTTGTCTTCGAGCAGCGGCAAGCCAGGGCAGAGCACCCACCCGTACGACACTGGTGTAGATGTTGATGATGACGACGAGAACGAGGATGAATTGCATCAAGGTGGCAGCATAGCCGTTACGTCGGGTTCTGAGCCCAGCCCACCATATCGGACTGCCTCGCAAACCACTCATCGTCGTGGGTCAAGTGAGACAACGCAGAAAAGGCGAAAGAAACATGGGCCCAAACATCAAAATCAGGGATTCAAATCGGGACATTCCAATGCCACGCCAATCGGTCTAAGCCCAAACCAACACCAGCCTACGCCGCAATCGCATTATCAATTCCGCACTCAGTTTAACGGCAAGGCCATTGTCTCTGTTCAGTCAGCAGCCCCCAGGAAGAAATGGTTCTGGCCTTTCCCAGCGCCAGCCCGAAACTCTCTGCATTATGAACGGCCCGATATCAATGTCCAGCAGCCCTCGAGCGATTGCGAAGATTCGTTTGAGCCACGCCGCAAGTGGGAGTCGGTCAAGGGTCGCCGAGGAAGCACGTATCCCCAACGAACGAATTCCACGCTGAAAACAAATGGGACTGACAACAGCACCACAGCCTTCCAAGGACAGCAAAAACAACATGGGCATCTCGCCGTCCCTTCTGGCAGCCTACGCGCCACACCCAAGGCTTCACCCAAGCCAACCGGCAAATTGACACCAAAAGACTCTCCAAGAACGTCCGAAAAAGAAACTACCAAACGCAGAGAAAGCGTGACGGTAACACCGCAGCCATCAGCCGTTCGCACGCAGGGTTCACAACCGTCGAGCGTACAACAACTACTGCCTGCTCCCTCATTAATACCAGTCACCACTGCAGGGCAAGTACGCCGTCGCTTGTCGAGCAACAACGGGAACGGTACTGGCACCGGGACCGGGTCTTCAAATCCAGGTACACCAGTAGCAGATAGCACGCCACGCTCAGGAGCAATTCGGCATCTTCTCAGTTTCGTCAGGGGATCTCCTCCTAGCAGGGCAGTTAGCCCGCTCGACATCAACGACAACTCTAACAGTATACCTACAACGCCACGGCTTCCCAGTCCTGCGATGCCAAGTCTCATCAAGGAGGCGGCGCAGTCGAGCCGAGGGAGCCACCGGTTTGGCAGAAGGTCCAGGACACAGAGCAATGATGTCGAGACTGGGCCCAGTAGCCAATCACCGAGGGTCTCCGGGGTAGCGAGACGTGGTAGTGACAAGGGCAGTCAGAGGGACAGCGAAATTGGTGGGTTCCAAGAAATTGACGGCAATATGAATGTAAAGAGAGTCGCGACAAGTCGACCTGGGAGTGATAAGACAGGATAAATGGGCGACAGAAGCAGGTTGGCGGGTTATGTTGTACATATTATTTCCAGGTTTCATCCCGCGACTGTTGCAACATCGAATGGAAGAAGCCACGTTCTCTCGAAAATGCGCGTCTGTTGACCACTTGGAGTTAGCAGCGATATCATGGAGCAGTCTTCTAAAGTTGAAACCAGGCTGGCTTGGAATGGTGCTGTGATGCACATGCAAGTTGAAAGTTGCAGGTTTTCGGCGTGGACAGATCAAAGTAAGTTTTGAATAGACCCGGACTTTGGAGTTCGAACCATGCTTTTACCGTTGTCTATACTAATCATAACAACTACTCAAGTATGAATGTCTCATAAATCCCGAGCTAACACGAAGCAACGTTCAAGAATGGAACATATATAGACCGCACCCCGCCGGTGCCGAGCACGGTAATAAGCCTCAGCGGTTGAACTTGATCCGGTGTAATATTGAAGCACTTCATTTTGGATTCGGGTTTGCCTGCCCAGTCAAGCCAGTGATCTGGCCAGCTTGAAGGGCCTAGACTATAAAATAGCTCCAGTGTTTCTGCCAGATCTCGTAACAAGCCTGGGTAAACCAAGATTGAATTTGGTTCCCGCAATACTAGCAGGCAGGGCTTCCCTGCTGTCAACAGCTCGGCATGTTCGATTTCCAAGATGTCGAGAACGGTGTGAGTTGAGTTCAGTGGAGAGAGTACGACTCACCTCACCCAAGCGGCATCACTGCGGCTTCAACGGGCGAGAAGATCGGCGTCGGTTGGGTTATGTTTGGCTGCCTTCGGAGTGAACAGCCTGTTAACGTCAACTGCCAACGGTCAATACCCCACCACCCCCCATCTAGGTCGTCATCTTACCAAGCAACAGTATACCCTAAGCACCCTCGATAAGGGACTGTCCCTTTTGGGCTACTTAAACCCCTTCCGACTCTGCCGACAAGGGAATAACATTTCATTCAGAGATTCTTATCGCGAGCGCTCTCTACATTGAAATTCTTGTTCAATTTTTCTCGCCAGATTCACATCCTTCAATTTAAAGTCAAAATGGCGACCATTGCATACCCCCCTGCGAAATGCTGCACCGTTGGAGTCAAGCATGAGTGAGTTCGATCTACCCCGCCATCTTGGCAGCATTGAGTTTCTGTGCATGTCATATCACGTCACGTAACCTCGAACTTCCCAGCTTCTCCCAACTCCCGGACAGCATCTACCATTACCTTTATTAAGCACGGCTACGGGACGACGCAACGCAGCATGGACACAAATGCCCGCAAAACAATTCAGATACACACAACAAAATGTCTCGCAGACAGCCATTTCGTCTTCAGCTTAGCATTCTGAAGTCGCACATACATAAAATGGCAAGCGCTGATAATATTGATACCACAGAGGCACTCCCACCGGCCAGGACATCAAGGTTGGCAAGTACGACGCCTATCTGGCTGTCCCCGAGTCGTCCAAAGTGCACAAGGATGCCGGCATCCTCTTCATCCCCGACGTCATATGCATCTGGCAGAATAGCAAGCTGATGGCCGACCAGTATGCCGCCAACGGTTCGTGGCCTTTCCTCTCTTGCCCCCGCTCACAGCTTGATCTCTTTGAGGATCTCTGTTTTGTCGGCCAGGACCAAGTATATTTGTGGCGTCGGAAACTGACGGACACGCGGTACAGGCTATCTTTGTCTCATCATCGACGTCTTCAACGGCGACCCCCTCTCGCTCAACCGATCCGACGACTTTGACTTCATAGCCTGGCTCACCAAGGGCAGCACAGGCGACAATCCCCACACGGCCGAGCACGTCGATCCCATCGTGAAGGAGGCAATTAAGTACCTGACGGAGGAGAAGGGCATCAAGAAGCTGGGTGCCGTTGGGTACTGCTTCGGTGCCAAGGTGTGTCTGCTACATGAAGATTCCATAGTAAACCTCAAGCTGACAGCATAAATAACAGTATGTCGCACGCCACTACCCCTCCATCCAAGTCGGTTTCATGGCGCACCCCTCCTTCGTTGACGAGGACGAGTTCAGGGCTTTCAAGGCCCCGTTATCCATCGCCGCCGCCGAGACGGACGCGATCTTCCCCACCGACAAGCGCCACCGTGCCGAAGTGATCCTCGCCGAGAAGGGCCATCCTTACCAAATCAATCTCTACAGCCAGGTCGTTCACGGCTTCTCGGTCCGTTGTGATTTGAGCAACAAGGTCGAGAAGTATGCCAGGGAACAGGCTTTCCTGCAGGCTGTCACTTGGTTCGATACCTGGTTGATTTGAATAGATGTCGGGAAGCGGCTTTATTTCGGTTCACTTGAAATTTGCCAGATCAGCCGTCATCTGCGGAGCAGGAGAGCAGGAGAGCAGGTCGCAGGCGCATATGAAACGAGCAAACGGCTATGTACAGCTCTAACGTAGATTTGTAGATGCTCTTGGCACCAAGACTTGAAGGTACGAATACATTCGCAATGAAGCAGAAACACAATTTCATATTTGGGTATCAATACAGTGGTACCTTCCTTGCCCGCACTGTCCAGTTTAGTGATTGCTCTCGCTGTCTTTCTCCCTGACAGCCATCAACTGACTCTGCAATCCCTTCTTGTCCACTCGCATGGCCCGTTCCAGCTCCATCTCCTCTTCTCTCAGAATCGCCCGCCCGTGCGCCAGTTGTCTTTGTTGTCGCCTCTTCTCCTCAGCGACAACACGTTCCCTGTCGGCAAGCGCTCTCTCCCTCTTGGCCCGCTCATGGCGGCTCTTTCGAACTGTCTCGTCTTCTATCACTTCTTCGACCTCGGGTGGCGGGTCCAGCGTAGAAATGTACCCTTCGACAAGCGGATTCCTGGTTTGCGGGTCCAGGCTTATGAAACGGACGTCGGCGAGAACTTGTGGCGGCAGGCTTTCGAGCAAGGTTTTGTTGTTCAGGTCCTTGGCCGGTATGCTTCTGAGCAGAGCCGTCAGGTCCTTCTTGAGCGTATCCTGAGGCATCTTCAAGCGAGACACGTACTCCCTATACCACTTCTCACGCTCCTTATCGCTCAATGCCATGTCTCGCATCGGGGGCTCTTTCTTGTACTTGCGCCTGAACTCGGGCCAGTACAGCTTGGTGTTGGCCTTCTCCTGCAGGAAGGCCATGTACGGGATCCGGGGGTCCCTCTTCTCCTCTTTGGCCCGCCGCTCCTTGATGACGGCGATCCGTTCTCGAGACCATTCCTCCCAGACTTCGCGTCGCGCCTTCATGGATGTAAGCACCGTGTACCGCGGATCTTCGACAATCTTGCCGTCCTCGATGATCTTCTCCCAAGGCGAGAAGGGGCTGATGCCGTAATCGGACAACAGGTCCTTGAAGAGGTTCTGCGTGTCTACATCGGACAGTGGAATCCCCTCAGCTCCTTCAGGCCAGGCTGAGGGGTCTCCGTCATCGTATTCGCCTGGTTCCAAGCCGTAGTCGGCACCCATGGCTTGCAATTGGAACGCAATGTCTTCCTCGCTGAACTCGACAGGAAAGGGTTGGTCCTGGTCTTCGATACGCTGGCGCTTCGAGGCATGTTCGTTGTCTTCGTCGACCTCTCTAGCGTTCATATCTTCCTCGTCTGTGACCTCCACCTCTTCGTAATCTGAGCCGAACTCTTCTTGCTCCTGTTCCTGTTCCAGCTCCTCTTGTACTACGGCTTGTGCTTGCCTCTCCTTGTCCACTATCGGCTCCAAACCATCGCCTTTCACCACCGCTCCAGCCTTCTCTTGGATGCTTTGTATGTCCAGATCCAATATCCTCTTCATGACCTTCTCGGGTATGCGCCAGAAACTTGCTTTCTTGACGGGGTTGTAGGCAAACCGCCGGCCGTATTTTGTGTACACCAGAATCCAGGGCTCGCACCCGGGAATGGCTACCTTGGATCTCGGTTTGTCGCGCGGTTCAGGGCGCGGGCGGTTCCTCGCGTCTGGTGCTCCATGGTGACCACCTCGGCCTCCAAAGCGCGGGCGCTCTGGCTGGGTTTGCGCCTGGGGGTTATACTGTGCCTGCCAGGCGTTGGCGACAGCGGGGTCGGCGAGGTTCGGGACGGCAGAATATTGCTGGAAGCTGGCATGGGGATTGTGCTCGGCGACAACGCCGGGAGCAGAAGCTGGGCGCGTGTACGTCGAAGTTTGGGTTGCTTGGTTGAAGTAGTACGTGTGACCTGTTGGCGCCTTGTGCTCGGTCCAGCCTGGTGGTAGTGGGGGAAGGGGTGAGCTGGACGGTTGGTAGGTTGATTTGAGCATATTTTGGCGTCTTTTGCGCCGTTGGGACGAGATGAGCAAAAGGTTTTGAAGGATTGGACAGGGAACTTGATTGCGTTGGTGGTTCTGGTTCACCTACGTGGTGACGGTGGCGGGATTTGCCGGAGCGGATACCACTGCGGGTTCAAGCGGTAACGTAGGACCCCACCTTTCCGGCCACATTACAATCCAATTGAAGGTATTTGAAACAGTGTATTCAACGTACTATTATAGCTATTCAGATACAACCAGCTCTAATAGAAAGCTGTGCTCCAGGGCTTCCTGAGGTATAGATCTGATAGATCCTGACGCCTTAGCTGGGTCCAGTATTACCTGATTCCGACGTTGTACCTGGTCTCGTTGCCGTTCTACTTCAAGGGCTCGATCCATCGCTTCCTTAATCTGTACAATGTTACCAAATCGTTCATTAGGCCCTAATCGTACCTTCTTACGTGGTTTGGTGCGTAACGAAGTTATCTCGGCTTCTAATGCGTATACACGTTGGGTCAAAGTAGCGACCTCGACGCTCTGTACATCTAGCCGACGAGTCAGCTTCCGAAACAATAGCCGTTGCGACGATCGCAATGGCGTAATCGCTGCCAGACTCTCCCTAGCTACTAAGCTAGTCACTGGCGTCGCCATTATTGTCGGATCAAGCCAATTACCAGCTGTTGTTGGTGTAGTTGGTCGTTCTGATAGGGGGGCTATCGTCGACTGAGGTCGCGATGGATCTAATGGGTATATTCCAGTTGCAGAGAAGCCTGATTGTGTATTACTGATCGTGAACGACTTCGTATATGCCTCGATATATAGCGAGAGGAACGTCGACTTTTTAAATGGAACAGAACAGTACTCGATCGAGAGAGATGTCGCTAACGAGCGATAGTACCGCTTTAATGGAGCAAATACGGCGACGTCGAGAGGTTGGAGCCCGTGAGAACAGTGTGCTGTTAAAAATAGTAACGAGATCTTGTTACAATAGGCTAACCACATGAACTCGACGTTATCGTGAGCGATATGACCATCTAATATCAAGAGCCGCTGCTCGTCGGGATCAACTGGTTGTGTACGAGGTATAAAGATATCACGAAGCCATCGAACGGCGATATCTGTACTGATCCAACCGTTGGACGAATAAGTATATTGCCAATCAGGTATATCGTCGCAATCGTTAAACCATTGGGCTTGGAGGTTCTTGCCAGTGTATATTACTGCTGGGGTCAACGAATTACCCATCGCCGATATAGCATGTAATATAGTGACCCATTCGCGGCTTTCGTCACTCCGAACCAATGTTGTCCGTTTCTCTGACGATCCGTACACTGTACCCTCGATCCCTTCGCCAATTGCGATGCCTGTTTCGTCCATATTCCAGACGTTGTGTGGAAAGTAGTCGTGAGCTAACATCAAGGCTTCGTACGTCTCGAAGAAATCGTCGATATTCTGCGTCGATAGGCCATCAAATCGCTGACGGTCGAGGCGTCGAGATTGGATACTTCCGACCTCTGGATGGCGTTGAATAAAGCGATGAACCCAATGGCGACCGAGGCCCTCTGATCGACGATCCTGAGGCAATAGAATTAACGCCATCTTAGCGATGAATAGCACCGACGGGCTACGACCCTCGCGATCCATCTCGAGGATCCATCCAATCAGCGCGTCTTCCTGATCCCTAGATAGCTTCATCGACGCGATTGACGCGTCAGAAAGGCTGAGGCCATCGCCGAGTCGTAATTGGAGGGTAGAGCGTGGACCGCCCAATCGGAGGGAAGCCTGGCGCTGGGGTATCCCTTGATTGATATCGTTGAGAGCGCCTTGAATCGAATTTTCTGAATATCGAGGCATTGTATAATAATAGCCAATACCGACGATAATCTGTTGTGCCGGAGGTTGTTGTAGTTGGCAGATTAGGTGGCCAGAAAGATGGGTGGCCGGAAAGGTGGGGTCGTACATTATCAGGTCAACTTCAACTCACCCTCAAGCAACCAATTTGAGGGCACATTTTCCATGCTTAAACCACATTACAAACTTTGACGCTGAGACATCTGAAATACACACCTCCAACTGGGAATTTTCAATTCTAGCATATGCAGATGTGGCGTCTCGATCTTCGATTTTGACGGCATTGTTGTTCAATCCCCCAGCAAATAAATGACTTATCAATCTGAAAGCCGCTTTCCAACCAATATATTCGACATACCTAAACACATACACCACTGTGGCATTTTGACATCTTCGTACATCTTTTTTCATCCAATGACTCTTGCGCACGCCGTACTGGAGTCGTTCCATCGTGTAGTTGTCGACCACCGTGGCCCACGGTAACGGAAATTGGACAGATGCACCCGTGCCTGGCCAGGTCAAGGAGGATACCGATCATTGTGAGACGTCTTGTGTTGGCCAGCTTGAGTAGCTGACAATCAGAATTCACAGCTGTGCACTGTCTGGGACAGGTATGATACTTAAAGTAAGTAGCTTTGAAACAGTCTGCCATCCACATCTGGCAAGACGGGGGCAGGCGATAATCGGGACTCTCACGACAGAGTTCGGTCGATTTCTATCAATTTGATTCCGACGAGTTTTTGTTTCTTGATAATACTCGCGGGTTCGCGGATATTGTCCGGTTGCCACAATAGTTAAATATACATCTTGTATCGTTCGTGTTCGTGCTGCACCTTCCGTATGTACATGGACGCAAGCGCGTGGAAATAACGTACTATCCCAAACAACAAAGTAAAGTAACGTACCCCACAAGCAAGTTGGCCACTTTTTCTTGGCACCGTATGAATAACTTCAATAACTTAACTAAACTAAAAAATAATAATTCAAACTAATCGGAATCCTCTTCCTCGTATCTTCATCATTCTCACAAGTACGAGCATTATTTCTGGGCTCTCCGCAGATCCTACAGCGCCGTCGGCGTGGTTCGGCCGGTCTCGTACGACGACGACTTACACGTATATCATCCTGTAGCTGCTCTTCAATATCCCGTTGAGACTGTAAGTCCTGAGCGTCTTGTAAACTAAGAGATCCTCCATCTTGTAGCTGTCGATTTTTAGTCCTTCGACGACGGCTTAGCTCTTGATTAGCCTTCCGAAGTGCAGTGACCTCATCCTCAAGTAAAACTAACCGGTGCATAACAGCCGTCGCACCACGTGAAAATTGGTCAATAGCCGTAAGTATTGTCGTCGGGGAGCTATTCTGATGCTATACGATTCTTTGGTTCTGATGCGTGTGCATATGGGGTGTGAATTGTTGTATTGGGAAAGGATGGCCAGGTCAGCTATTCTGGCCTGGCAGAGCTCTTTTATAGCTCTTATCTATCTTATCTCTAGCTATAGGGCAACCCCCCATGGGGTCACGTATCAGATTCCCAGATTAAGGGGGCGCCAGACGAGCTCCCAGGAGGTGTAGGCGTATGTAGCTTAATATCCAGCTGTGAAATCACATATTCCGGGTCGTACGGAATAAGTCCTGCAGGCTGTGCGACAAGTCTGCCATGTAGTTTTCTATACTGGCACAGTAGCTAAGCCTCTTCTGGAATACAGTGGGTCACGCCGCATTACTCCCATATGAGTTACTTTGTAATACAACGATACAGAGCCGTTCGCCAGTGCAATACGATTCATCAATGCAGTGCCCTTCGTAGGTGCAGTGCATTTGCGCCGACTAGGTTAGTGATAGGTGCAGAGGTAGCTCGGCTGCCAGCCAAGTACCGCTCAAGTGGATGTATCTCCACATTGCCGCAAAGGGCTTAGCCATCGTGCCGGTATATAAAATAACGGTGCCATTAGAGATTGATTGCGAATTGAACACTCCGATCTGGCCTAGCCTTGAAGCTGTGTACTTTGACCCCAACCTCGCACCCTATTTCAGTATTTTTCCCCAGCAATGCTGTGGTGTATCATCAAGAGCACTCGTCGCCGGTGACTTGCAGCCATGGCACCGCCGAACGCGGGCAATTCCAACAACAATTCCCATGTCAATGGCATCGGCAACTACGGCGGCTTCCTTGGGTCGGTGGCTAGGTTCTGGACGGTACGTGTGAAGTTGGCTCATCTGGGGTTTCCATTTCAATTGGTGCCAGCCACCATTATTGATTGATTCCTTGGATGATATCCTCTTATCTGTGCCGAATCCGAGAACTTGTTCCAGACGACTAACGACGCAGATGGCACGCAGCACTCGTACGCGCCCGACTACCTGGGCTTCACTCTCCTCCTGGCGGCCTACCTCGTCATCGTCCTCGTCGTCGAGCCCTTCCATCGCATGTTCTACATCAACAATCTGGCCATCTCGTTTCCCCACGCTGCCGTCGAGCGTGTTTCGGTGCCCATGAACTTCGTGTACGCCCTCTTCGTCCCGCTCGGCCTCTTGGTCGTCTACAACAGCCTCACCCGCGCCACATTCCACAAGCACCACTCCGCCGTCCTCGGCCTGGCCATCGCCCTGATCCTGACGACCTTCCTGACGGACATTGTGAAGAACATGGTGGGTCGGCCCAGGCCCGACTTGATCGCGAGATGCAAGCCCGCGGACGGCACCCCAAAGGACACGCTGGTTTCGATTGACGTCTGCACCGAGACCAACCACCACACCCTCCACGACGGATGGCGGTCCTTCCCGTCGGGGCACTCGTCTTTCTCTTTTGCCGGGCTGGGGTACACGGCCTTCTTCCTGGCCGGGCAGCTGCGCATCTTTCGCGACAAGAGGGACTTGGGCCGGGCCCTTGTCTCTCTCGCGCCGCTGGTGGGCGCGGCCATGATCGCCATCAGCCGCTGCCAGGACTACAGACACGATGTGTACGACGTTTGCACCGGATCGGCTCTGGGGCTGCTGGTGGCTTTCTGGACGTACCGGCGGTACTGGCCTCGGCTGGGGAGCAGAGACTGCGATGCGCCCCACCCGGCTCCAGTGGTAGCAGATGACAGAGATAGGGACGACAGAAGATGGCGGAGGGTGCGGGATGAGGAAGAGGGCGGGCCCATTATTGGGAGGAGCAATAGCCGTGGGTATGAGATGGATGACATGTATGGTGCCTAGACGTAACTAACAGAATGCAGATGACTGACTGATACCATGAAATATTTGGACACATTGGACATGCTGGATTCAATCATATATATCTGTACATAAACGCTTAAAACATTGACAAATGCTGGATATAAAACTCAGTTGGATACAAGAGAAGGCGTCGACAAGAAAGAAAGCGGTTAGTCACCTGTGACGGGGAGTACGTCACAGTGGTAGAGAATACCAGATGTCGTAACAAATGCTCCTCAGCCATTTTGAAGCGTGTACATGCAATCCATCGAGCATCAGCATCAGCATACTTTCCTATCTGCCAATGGCCAGTTCCTCGGCATCGCCAACACCATCCTCCTTTTCCTGAAGCACGGATTGCAATGATGGCCACTCTGAGTTGCGACCGTAGATAATAGCGAGTGTATTTGGCTGCAATAGTTGTGAACAACAGCATTGGCAAGTATGCGAGCAGGTTATCTTAGCTGCTTGCTTGATGTAATTGGATGATTTGTTATGCTATTTCTGATTGACAGGCCCCGTCATTCGTACATCTGCAGTACACTTTAGGGTAAAAGCCACTGTGTAAGATCCGTAATCAAAACGCGAAAGAGCGGAGCTGCAAGCACTTTACGCGTCGAGCGCTTCTAGTCCTCCCCTGTTTCCTGAGAGCTGCATGTGCGATTGCAAACATGCACGGCACTTCATACGAAATTGGGTGGAGTGCTGTGAATTACGGTGGGAGGAAACAGTTGCTGAGATAATTGCCCCACTGAGCTAGAAGACCCCAGCCACCGCAATTAGCGATTGATCACGTCGCGGTTCCCACATTGTATGGTTCCAAGACCTCGGGAAACAGATAGCCACTGTTAGTGCTCGCCCTTGTCGGCACGGTTCGCCTTAGCAAGGATCAACAGTTTTCGAGTTCTCGTTCGGCCATTCAGGAGGATCTTTGAGCTCTGTCTCTACTGCTTCTTTGAGCTCCCCAGTGCTCTCTCCTCTTGTCTACATCAACCCACTCTGTTTTTTTCGTCATCCCATCTGTGTTCCTGGTGTTTGGATTTGTGTTATTACCGCGAAGCTAGAGACACGGCTTTTCGACTGCGGCAAACAAGACGAACAACACATCCACAGGCGGCATACAGGATACTACTGATATAGTTAACTAGGCTGCCTGCCTTGGTATTAGGCCGTACTAGGCAAGTCGACTCCCTGTTAGTATCAAGCCCTTTCAACCATTGAAGATATCTTACTGATTAAAGTTGTAGTACTCATGAGCATGCCACCTGCACCGAGAGCTCATCGTGGCGGGTTCGTCAAGCATGAACCCCCGTCCGAAGCTCCCTCGCCTGCACCCACTCGGTCCATGGCCACCGGCACCATGGCAGCTCCAGCTTCGGCTCTTTTACACGAGCCGGGCTCTCGATCTTTAAGAAGCTCAATTGCGCCTTCATTGAATCAGTCATTCCATCGTTCTGGTGCCCGTAAGTGCCCTTTCAAGTTACGTGCGATTTTTCTTTTGTATTACTATCACCTCACCTTACCTTGAGCTCATCCACCTCCATTTAGGTCTAGGTTGGATCGTCTGCTCTTGATCCATTTCATACTTCATGCTTCCCTTATTCTGCATACTCCTCGTACTTGTTTTGCCTCGTTTGATCCGTGCCTCCCGTTTGGTTAACTGTACACCCTTCCTCGCCTGCTTCTTCCAATCCACATACCATTGCGGTATCTAACCTGGCTACAGCTAGTGTGGATACATACCAGCCTCGAATACCCGGACACAGCACTATCCTCGACGACGATTCGGTGAGGTTGCAGCAAATGAGACGCCGGCCTGCGAGTGGCGGTAGCGGTGGCCGCATCTCGTCGCAAAATGGTGATGGCAGCTTCCTCCAGCGCAGCTTTGCCCACACCAGCTTCTCTGACATCGGACTCGTCATTAAGCGATTCAACGACACACTCGGCGAACTGCAGCAACTTGGTGTGCAACATGTTGCCGAACTCCCCGAGGTATGTATACATCCTTTCCACAACTTGTTGATTCCACCCCTCTGCTCACATCCTTTTTGGCCAGCTCGTCATGGTTGGCGACCAATCTGCAGGCAAATCCAGCCTCATGTCAGGCCTTGCTGAACTTGACCTCCCTCGTAGTGGTGGTGTCTGCACGCGGTGTCCCATCCACATCCGCCTCAGCTCTAGTCGGAATAACGACCCGAATGGCTGGTCGTGCACCGTCTCGCTGCAGCAGGAGTACGACTACAAGCCGCCCGAGAGCGGACGCATCAAGAAATCTGACGTGACCAAGCAACACCCTTTTGCCCCCTGGATCCAGAAATCTCACCGAATCGCCAGCGTGTTCAAGACCATCTACGACAAAGCTGACATCGAGGAGGTCCTGCGATGGGCTCAGGTCGCCATCTTGAACCCTAGCCGCAGCTTCGAGCTCTTTGTCCCCGAAGAAGGCGCCTACGCCAAGGAGACATCTCTGGCCGATGCCGTGCAGGAAACCGAGGCCCAGTTCTCGCCAAACATTGTGGCGCTCGAGATCAAGGGCCCCAGTCTGCCCGACTTGAGCTTTTACGACCTGCCTGGTGTCTTCTTGTCCCCGCCCCGCGAGGAGGACGAATACATCGTCCAAGTGGTCAGAAATCTCACCAGCCATTACGTCCGCCGGCAGCAGGCCATCATCATGTGGGCCGTTCCAATGAACCAGGACCCCGAGAATTCCATCTCGCTTGGCATTATACGCGAGGCCAAGGCGCTTGCTCGCACCATTGGCGTCATGACCAAAGCCGACAAGGTGCAGGCCGACAACACGGCCCAATGGGTCTCCATGCTTCGCGGGGAGAAGCACCCGGTCGGACAGGGCTTCTTCATCACTTCGCGCCCCCACGATGCCCAAGTTGGACTGGGCAGCGTAGCACAGTGGGAAGACAAGTTCTTCAACGAGGGCATCCACAATTGGCCGCCCGTGTTCCAGGAATTCACCGACCGATGCGGCGTCGAGCTTCTCAAGGACTTCCTTTCTAAGAAACTGGGCGATGCCTTTTCAAGCAGCCTGCCGTCAATTAAGCACAAAATCCACGAGCGTCTGCGCACCATCCACCACCAACTTTCCGAGCTTCCGGAACTGCCCAACAATGTTGAACATGAAGTCAAGACGAGCTTGTACACCTTTTACAACACCGTCAGGGATGCCATCAAGGATCGGAGGTTCCAGGCCAAGTGGGATGTCCTGAACAAGCAGTTCCAGTCGTGCATCACTAAGATGAAGCCGACGTGTATTGTCAAGGATAGCGAACCCACGCCGCTCATCGAGCTTGCCGCCTCAGATGAAGAGTCCACCGCGTCTGCCCTCGTGGCCGCAGACACGCCATCGCGCAAGCGGCCTCGCGCCAGCGACTCCACCATTCGCCCGACCCCCAAGAGGCCACGCCCAGAGTCGCACGTCCTCACGCCAGTCAAGAACGAGGAAGCGACCAGCTTCTCGCGGCCTTCGCCATCCGCGAGCTTCTGCGGCACGCCCATTCCCGAGGCGCCCTCGGGTCCGCCGTCCCCCTTTGAGCAATTCCACCAACTTGGCCGCCAAGGTCTCAACATCCGCAACATCCGCACCGAGATCCTCAACAGCAAGCGTGCCGGTATGCCGCACGACATTGTACAAGATGAGGTGTATGACCGTCTCGTCATCTCTGCCATCGAGAAGTGGCGCGAGCCCCTGGACCGGTACATGAACCTGACCATGGAGTTGTTTCAAGGTCTCATCTCCAACGCACTGATCGACGCCCTGGGCGCCCTCTCCAACCGCATGATCTTCATTCAGGCGAGGAATCACCTGGACGCCTTCATCCAGCAGATGGAAGTGCGTCAGCGCAGCAAGGTTATCGATCTCTTCGACGCAGAGAAATACCAGATGTATACCACCAACGTCGAGGCGTACAACCGCTACCGCGATGCCGAGGAGCACGTATTGAGACGGGTGCGGGACATCAGCCGCATCAAGTCGCTAGGGCATGCGTGGGACTATCACCCGCCGCCCGTCGAGAAGATGACGGAGGAGTTGTGGGCCGAAGAACGCAAGAAACTGCGCGAGCCCCTGGCCAAGCTCAAGGAGGACCCTTACGCCACTGAGATCAAGGTTGCGGCTGTGGTTAGAGGCTATTACATGACGGCCGCCATGCGATTTGTCGAGAGTGTGACCCTGAGTGTTAATTCGAGACTCTTCCGCGATTTGGCGGCCGGGCCGTCGTTGGAGATGTTCTTAAATGACAAGTTAGGTCTCATGAATTCGAGTGAGTTGGAGCCTTCATCCCCACCCTAGCCCCTAAACTCGAGGAAATTGTTCACTGACCGATGTTGTAGACCCTGCCATGTATGAGCATCTCATGGAAGAGGACGATGCCATAGCGACCAAACGCGACCAGTTCAAGTGCGAGATGGAGAAACTCAAGAAGGCTATGCAGCGCATTAATGAACTAGAGAACTCGTCCGGCAGCGGTGCCGTGCCCGGCTTCGGCTCAGAGGCGACCCGGGATGGAGATGGCTATGTTTTCGTCGACGATGAGATCTAAACCGAGTGAGCAATCTCAGTTGGGACCTTGGATTGCTATTTTGTTTAACAGATGTTCTGATGCTGTTTGGTGGGTCAGCAGCATGCTCTATGGTCTCAATTTCACGGCTGCTTCCCAAGCTGGCGTTGTTGGGTTGGGCTTTTCCTTTGTTGGATCTAGCGAAGCCTCATTCACGTCTTGAGGCAATATAACTCAGGTAGGGACGTGGCTACTTTGTGCTTTGGTGTGCTAAAGATACTCCGGTCTATAGGATCAATATACCCGTTTTAATTTAAGTTGTTGTACTGGTGACGATATGCGGGGCGTATTCTTCCGGTCAGAATATGGCCGGCAGTCTTAGATACTCGTTTGGCTGTAATACTTTTCATGCTCTTGAGCGAATGCTGTAAGCCTCCTTGGTTCAATAGCCATGACCAGTCGTTTACGGTGATCCCCCTGAGAAGCAATCGTAGTTTATCTCTACCCATATTTGCCTAGTTTAGTTGGATAGTGCTCAAGCGGATTGGAACGAACGCTGGTAGCCAAGGAGCGAGATCGTACTTCGGATGGATGAGCCGGCATTTTGTGGCCAATCAATTCTGCAACTAACCTCAGAGGCTATAGCGCGCATTATCCAGCGCACTCATGCAATTGCTGAAGAATGCTCAATAAATGTGGAGTTAATAGCATTTACTTCTACGTTCAATGCTAGCCGGAGCGCTTGACGGATGAAACCTTTTTGCCACCCCAGGGGGCTTGACAGGTGTGGCACAGTGTCACAAAGGAGACCGGCGTGTCGGTTCCTTCCAGCGCCTCGGGGTGAAGATGAGGGGAACGACGCAGGGAGCCCGGGGTGGGTGGAAAGGGACACAGGAACAAGTCTGAGCGTGGAGACTCGAGAGGTCAGAAGAATGCCGAAATCATACAGATAATGACAAAACTGACATCCAGTAGTACTTCTCCCGTCTGCATATTCGATATGCTGCTCGTAGCTTTCCTCTCCACTGGCAGTCTCGCAGTTACAACTGGATTAACTCCTCAGACAAGACACTGGTATCAAAGAAGGAAGGAACCCCTTTTCCCATGGCCACGCTGATGCACTGGTCACATGTGGAATAGACATGTACAACAACTCTCGTTACCACTCACTTTACATGAGGGGCCCAAAGCAGGCTGGAGCCATGGGGATAGTGACGAATAGCGTGGAATTCGCCGCTGGTGGAGAAAATGGAAACACAAATAATACGTTCAAGTATTCCCATCTTACAAAACGCTACATATCGATCACTTAGTTCCGCTCCTACTTGGGTTGATTTTGATGCCACCTGGCTTCGTTATTTTGATCGAGGTGACGATCGTTGGCGGGCTCTCATACTCGCCGTATAGCGGTGATGACTTGATGGTCGACTGCGACTCCTGATGCAGATGGAGACCATGAACGCCGAGTGAGAGTAAAAGCTCCAGGAATAACAGACGTCAGCAACACCAGTGGCGACGAGATATGTTCCAGGACTATATGATCTATTTTTTTATTATACGGAACAGACTCCTAGACATCAATATGGTGAGTTGACGTTATCCAATTGGGCACTGTCCAGACCTTATGTACAAGACGATTCTGTCAAAGCAGAGGGTGTGTTGAGCAACGCTTGCGGAAGCTCCAGCTTAGGCATGATCTATTCCTGACCCATAACGTGTGATGAAGTTGACCAGATACTTTTTCAGGGCTTATGGGTTCTCCTAATAGAGTAGCACCTTTGTTGGGTTGGTCGGATGGTATTATGTTGTAGGAGGTGATTAATGTTTCCCTGGAAGCTATTGCCGAGCGCCTTGAGGCAATTTCAGGCACCCAGAATATACAGAAGCCATATAATAGGCCCTGTTTACAGTACCGCTGGCATTTCTGAACTTTTCCCCCTTGAACTCGGCGTCGTGCATTTCTCCAGCTTCGCGTCCCAAGCAGTCACGAACATCTCGGAGTGCCTGTCCTAGCCCTTGATCTGGCTCTTGCACATATGGAACACACACATGAAGACAGCAGATCCGTTCTAGGTCTTCTTCCTCTCTCAAGACGAGTAATGGCTGCGCTGGAAGGCCATTTTGGAAAGACTGCATAAGGTGCACAGCGATATTAACTCGATAACGGACGCACTTGAAAGCCGATTAGATATCGAGCTCGTCGTGTCAACCGAAGCAATCTTGATCTTGGCCGTATCCGACTCTTTCGGGTCCGACACAGCACTTACGAGGCCTAGGCAGCCGAAACCCAAAACGGTACATAACCATGAATTCCCCAGGGGATCCGACGGCCATATTAAGCAAGAAACAAAAATGGAAGGCATGGGGCCGCTTTTTGATTTCAATTGCTGCAGTAGGGACTGCGGCCTCAGTGTTAGTGGCCCAACTGTTTTTAAATTGGGTACTGTGTCGACGGCTTGCGGGCGGAGACATATCGAGATTCACTGCAAGAAGAGACACGAGCCTGGGCACGACAATGAGATCTTCGACATTTACACACTTCTCGCCTATTTCTCAAGCGAAGTTACGTCAACGACGGTTCGCATGTTGTCCTGGTCAAATGTGTCACACCCTACTAAGATCTGATAGTGGTTGGCGGGCTCTCAGATATGAAGGACAAATACCCATAAGGATTGTTTGGGCTTAACATTTGAGTTACTAGTGCAGTGAAACTTCTCCTTCCGATTGTTACGTTTTTTCTAGGCATCGGCTTGCCGGAGGTTAGGGGCCTTTTCTCACCCTGCCTTATATACAACTATGCCTTCAAGAGATCTGGTTCAATTCCTGATCGTGAAACACCGAAGACAACGGCGGCTGACGGTGTTGAGTTAAAGGTTGCGACATGGAGGCGAATGGCCTCGTGACCGCCATCGCCGTACTCCATTACGAGTGTACATCAGCGATTTCAGTTCACGCAGGCCAATAGCACCCTGAGCCAAGCAGCATACATGCACGCGTTCCATGGACGGAAAAGTTGATTACTACGTCGGGTTTCCAGAGACAGAATCTTGTTCTCGTGAACAGAATAAAGGGGTTACCCCAGGGCAGGCCTGCTTGAAGTTTCCTGCATCATCGACGAAAAAGGGCATAGTTCCCAGTGTATGGGTATAGAGGAAAGGGCGGTAACGGCCGACTGCATTAAAGCGACTTAGGTTTTTCTGCCCCGTTACAACCACTCGTGCATTGCACTGCCGGTTTTGACTATATTCTACTATCCTCCAATCCTTTAAATAAATCCCATGGCGTTATATCAAGAGCTATCTATATTTCGAGCTTCTATGCACAGCCCATGCAGCATCACCAGGCAGTCAACCCGTTTCATGAGACTTTTCGGTTCATCTGCCTCCCTGTCGCCACTTACTATAAATATGTAATTTATCTCACTCCACACGTGAGCTGGCCCCCATCCCGAAAATTCCCAGTAGACTCATTCATGTCTAATCCCTCGCACCGGGTTATGTGCTTGTAACCTGCGAAGCAGAAGAACCATGCCGCATATCTGTTGGATAATTGCACTAGGAAAATTGTAATGAGGAACAGCACGATCGAAAGGACAATCGAAAGCATTAGGATGAGATTGTTTTCACCAGATGGTGTGAGAAGCTAGGGTAAGTCACAGTTTGCCAATTTTGTATTCCCACCGCCAATACCATAGTATTAGATTGCCGACTTGGGCGAAACCATCTCCTTCTCCGTGATCTCATCCTCATGATGGCTGCCATGAATATCCTTTTCGACCTGATGGATATTGATATGAGCCACAGCGTGCTCGCCATCGAAGATGCGGGCAATTTCCTCGAGGGTCGGGCCCTTGGTTTCGACGTAGAAGAAGTAGACGAAGACAAGTTCGCAGAAGTCCCACAGCTGTTTTTACATGTTAGTTAGTCTGACTGAAATCACGATTCATTGACCCGAGATGTTAAAGGGGAAATAGGAAATGAAAACACACCGTGTAGAACAGCATAAAGTTCCAGTGATTGGGTAAGTTGGCCCAGGCCAGGGGATTGGTCTGGTTGCCCAGGGCGAGGATGGCCTGGACGGTTATGTTCATGATCATCATGCCCTTGGCGCGCAGGTGGAAGGGCAGTATTTCGAGGGCATAGCCAACGAGCAGGCCGGAGAAACCGATGTCGTAGAAGATACCGAAGAGCCAGATGAAGACGATCTGGGCGTAGCCCGATCCCGTGTTGGACTCGCCCGAGTTTTCGTAGATGGCACCGCAGATGGTCCAAATGACAAAGGAGGATACCATGCCGCAGACGGAGACTAGAGGATAATGCACGTGTCAGTCTATCGTATAAAGTGACAAGGTATGAGGAGCAAAGGGGTGGCGCGACATACTCAAAAACAGGGGTCGTCGTCCGAACCGGTCAACATTCAAGGCGGCGAAGATGGTGACGATGAGATCAAGGATGGTTTTGCCGGTGCTCAGCTGGAATCTCGGGTCAGAATAAACGCGCCAACCGTGACTTAGGTCTACTGGGAGGAACTCACACCAAGCTTCTGGTTCTGGTCGTTAATGCCAGCACCAGCGTAGATGATGTTCATGTAGTTGGAGAACAGCGCGTTTCCACTGTACTGGGAGATGACGCCGAGGGAGATGAGGATTGCCAGACGCCACCGGTTGCCCTTGGTGCGGAGGAAGTCGAGGTATCCGGTGGCTCGGGTTGCCTCCTTTTCGATGCGCATCGTTTCCTTGATCTCGCGATACTCGAACTGCACCGTCGTGTTGTCCCGGTTGCCGCCGCCATGGTAGTATGCCAGAATATCCAAGGCCTCCTCAGAGCGGTCCTTGGAGAGCAGGTATCGAGGCGATTCGGGGATCCAGTAGATGAAGACAATCTGGATCAGCGAGGGCACGATCTGGATGAAGGTGATGGAGCGCCACGACCACTCGTTGCCGACCTGGGCCGTTCCCCAGCCGATGCAGGCCACCAGGAGGGCGCCCAGATTCCATAGGCAGTTGTACACGGCCGTGACGGGTCCACGGTGCTGCGGGTGGCAAATCTCGGTTAGGAGAAGTGGGGATGACATCTGCGAAAAACTGTTGCCAAAGCCCAACAAGAATCGACCCGCAATGTACACTACGCAAATCGTCAGCATTAGTCAGTTTTTTCCTTTTTCTCTTCTTTTGTTCTTCCTGTCTCTCCGGTTTCTAGGGAATGAACTAGACACCTACTATTATAGCCGTTGCAGAAGGCGGTGATGAAACCACCGAGGATCATGAAGAGACAGCCGGTGGCGATGGCTTTCTTTCGACCGTAGTGATCGGCGACATAGGGGCTGTATTCCACAACTGTCAGACATGGTTCTGGAGGAATTGTTAGGCACTTGACATGGCCACCTACGTGACGAAGAAGCTGACAATACTGCCGATGCTGTACATGTTGACCAGAAGACCGAGCAGGTTGGGGTCATCATGCTCTGGGAAGTAGTTGGCCCACAGTTCAATCTGCTGAGATGTGTTGACGAGCATGCTGTGAAGTAAGGTGTATCGTTAGCACGGTGTACGAAATTGTGACTGGTGGTTTTGTTCATCTTCTCACCCATCATAGCCAGTCGTGGCAGATGCAACGAGCAGCACACAGGCCCAGGCATAGAGCTTTCGCAAGTTGGGTTCCCTCTTCCAGTCGACCCTCTCGAACTCTGGCGCTTCGTGTTGAGCAACGGCGACATTCGTCTGTTGGCCCTTGGCCACCACCGTGGGGACTTGGACCATGGTGGGTAAGTTGCGCTGGTGAGTCCCGGCGTGGGAGAGATTCTTGAAGGGCGTTCACACCGCTTGTTGTCGTCAAAGGGAGAATGGAGGAGTCACTCTATGAAGGGCAGTGCAGCGGAGAAAGACTGATGGAGAGAAAACATAGAGTGCAGAAGGGATAATGCATCTTCATATATGTATCACAACCCCAGACGGGGTCGCATCCCTGTTGGCTCTCACGAATGCATCGTTGCGAGCAGGCGGGTACTGCTTGACCAATACGGGCGAACACCACTTGCAGGCTACGGGCCAGATTTAGCCAGGATTTTGGATTCGCATCTTACCCGATACGGTGGTTGGAGATCAGCGGATCTGGGCCCGATGCGCAAGTCGCTGTTGAGGGAAATGGACCGCAAGGACCAATATGACCGGGCCGGGCAAAGAAAACTAGGCGAGGTTAATAGTTAAAAAGGGAAAAGAAAAAAGACAGGAGTCATATTGCACTCGGTGGTGTACACCATGTGTTTGCTTTGCATGCCAAGCCAGCTGGGATTGGCTCCGTTGTCAACCTCAAGTTCGCATGGCTGGGCGTCCGGACCGCATACGCCGACGCCCAGAGGGAAAGAAAAAGCTTGAATGAAGCCGTATCAAAGGCACGGCGTTTCTTTCGTACAGGTGCGGCACAGCATCTCGACTCAAGCAGAACATGGTGGATTCACAAAGCGGCTCTTCGCATGCTTGTCCAGAGGCGGCTCCCTGCCCAAACCCCTTTTCGACACTTGAAGGTGGACAAGAACTTCTGCCGCCATATTTTACGAGCAGCCCACTTCCCCAGGTTCTCCGTCACCCCGTGGTCCGTCACAGACCTAAACCACTGCGAGTCTATCCTGTCCAGTTGGCAATCTCGCCTGACCAGATATTAATGGCGCGATCACTAGAACGAAGAAAGAAGAATTCATGAAAATCCGACTCATCCCAGGGCCTCGAACATGCACTCCATCTCGCCTTGAGTTGACGATGCGGGGACTAGTAGTCTCTGATTCGTCCTCAGTCGGCCCTGCTGGATAAAGTCGCGGATAATCGGGAAGAGTGCAAAGCCTCCAATAGGAAGCTTGGTAGCCGCGCGGGAGCCCCTGCCTATGGCTGGGCCCCTGTTCAGCAGGGGAATTTGTATGTGGAACCTAGGCTTCAGAAACGTGGTGATATATGTCGGATGGTGGGATTGAGCGCAGCGTTGGCAAGTTGCTGCTACGGGCAAACGCACCCGTTGAACATGATCCCGAATCATGATTAATTGTGACTTCCCGATCTGCGACTGTCTACTTCGCATTCTGACATTCGCATTCGTCAAGAATCAGATTGCGGCCTAAGTATGCTAGGGTGGGATTTGTGAGTGGGATGGTCTCGACATGAACCGACCCAGTTCACTAGGATATGTTAGATCACTCGGCTTCAGCAGCCATGATCCTTCGTTTCTGAACAGATGATGGCTCGAAGGGACTTCAGATGACTTAGTCAGCTTGCCGTGCTCTCTGTTTTAGTTCCAGGTCAACTCTCCGGGTGGCTGCGCCGCAATGAAAAAAACCGACTAACCTTGTGGAACTGTCAAAGTCCCTATCTGTCGGGAACAATTTTGACGCTGGCTAAAGAGACAACTGGCCGCTGTGTATTTTTGCCGGTGAAGAAGGACCGAAGGCTCGGGGTTCAAAATAGATTGTGCCGCTTTTCGACTGATTTTGGTATTGCTTAAACTTCGCTAGGTCTTTGGTCGCTGAGAACTGGCGGTCTCTACGGGATACTTGAATAGTTTCTTTATATTAAAAAATAATATTAAATACGCCGTAGGTGTTAACCCTCGGTACCTCTACAAGTACTCCCTTAAGGGGCTATAGATGATATAGCGGGCCCTTAAGCCGCGTCGGGCGGTTATACAGGTAAACTTGTAGCCAAACGACTACTAAACCTCCTGTCCCTCCCTAAGTCTGTGCTACAACCCCTGCCTGAACTACCGATAAGTGTGGTAATGTGGCACTTAAATTCGTCCTCAGGGGTGGGATGCTGCTGATGTGCAGAAGATGCTCGACTATTTTTTGTCGCGACAAGTCGTACTATCTGCTAATTGGGGTTCTCGTCGAGCGTATACATCTCAACCATACGCTCAAGTGGATAGACCGTAACGTGGTCTAGACGCTCGCATGAATCGCGGCGAGAGGGCGTGCTGCGCGCCTTCTATCGTGAGGGGACGGGTTCGCCGACGAGCGTTATCGGATAGGCGAGGTCCGATAAGGGGCCGGATTAACGATTCGAATTCTGGACCGGCTGTCGAGTTATATTCCGCCGACGTAGTGCTTGATGGTCGACTGGCTAGGATGCTCGTAATCCTAAACTGCACCAATCTCCCTATTATCGCTAGGTAGGCGAAGTCAACAAGGTGGGCAGCGCGCCGTAAGGGTTGACTAAACCCCCTTGTGTGTCAGCTGCGGGATTCGAACCCGCGACTCGTCACCGACCCAAGTGGGCGAGGCTCAAATCGGGACTTATCTACCAGCGAAGTGACCAACTACACCAGCCGACTTCTTTATATTAATACATTTCCCCGTTCCGGTCTCCCGGCAATCTTTCCCGCAGGAAATAATCTTCTCAAAACAGGGCCCCATGTGACTATTTTTGCACGTTCCGTCGTCCCGGATCCTTCCCCATTTGGCTGTCTGTTTTTTCTTTAACGTCACCCACAGGTCATTGCCCCATACGGGTCTTTGCCCAACTTTTCAAGAAATCTTGACTTTCCATCTTTACTTATACAATTCTTCCCTTCCACAACATGGCACGCAAATCTAGTGAAGCTAATCTTCAATTAGCCATCCAAACTAAGTGACGCGATCCTCACCTAAGTTGGAACAAGCTTGGTAAAATCTTCAAAGTCGACCATAAGACATTGAAGCGCCGTTACGAAGGCGTACAACCATTACACATTACTAACATGTCCAAACGGAAAATGACCGAAACCGAAGAGAATACGATTACCCGACGCGTAATTGAGCTAGATTCGCGAACTTTTCCTCCCCGGCTTCGATACGTTGAAGAAATGGCGAATATCCCCCGACGCGACCCGTCACCCGTCGGCAAGAACTGGGCCTCGAGCTTCGTACGGCGACAACCAGACCTCCGGACGCGTTTAAATCGTCGAATCGATTGCCAGCGGGTATTCTGCGAAGATCCTGTCGCGTATCGCGGTTATTTTAAGCGTGTTGCGGACACAATAGCGAAGCAAGGCATCCAGCCGGAGGATATCTACAACTTTGACGAGACGGGCTTTTTAATAGGCATGATCTCAACCGGCATGGTCGTTACGAGTACCGAAAGACGTGGAAGGCCTAAGCAAGCCCAGCAAGGCAATAGGGAATGGGTTACTGTCATTCAGGCCGCCAATTCCCAAGGCTGGGCGGTGCCGCCGTACATCATCTTCGCGGCCAAAGTTCACCTCGCTTCATGGTATCGCGACACCATATTACCGGGCAATTAGGTCGTTAATCTATCCCACAACGGATGGACAACGAATGATATTAGTCTCAGCTGGGCAGCTCACTTCGATCTGCACACACGCGATCGTACGAAGGGTGTCAAATGCCTCCTGATCCTTGACGGTCACGAAAGCCATCACTCGATGGATTTCGAACAATACTGCAAGGGCCATGGCGTCATTACCCTTCCTATGCCTGCCCATTCGTCCCATAAGCTCAAGCCTCTCGACTTGGTGCCTTTTAGTGTTTTGAAACGGGCGTACGGTGTGTTTGTTGAGGGTTTGATGCGACGGCATCATACCCACGTTGCGAAGGAGGATTTCCTTACCGGTTTTTTGGAGGGGTTTGGCGCTGCTTTTACTGAACAAAACATCAGATCTGGTTTCGAAGCAGCTGGAATTGTCCCTTTTGACCCCGACAGGGTTATATCTGCCCTGAATGTCGCAGAAGTCGCGCGTACACCCTCTGCCGACCCAGAACTCCTACCCCCTATTTGGACTTCTAAGACACCTACTACCACCCTTGAAGCCGAATCGCAGTCAACGTTGATTAAGAATAGCGTTCAGAGGCATTAAGACAGCTCTCCGACGCGTATTCTTCATTCAATTGACTCGATTGCAAAGGCTACGCATGCAATGATGCAAGAGAATGTTATCTTGCGTAGCGAGAACGAAGAGCTTCGTGAAACTAACCATGTGCTAAGCAAACGTCGCTGAACCAAAACCAAGCAAATCCAGTATGGTGGGCCACTTAATATAGAAGATGCACAAGTTATACGAGCTATTAGGGGTGATACGGGTTTGGAAAGTGAGGAGGGTGAAAGTAGTCGTCCTACAAGGAGGAGGGCAACGGGTGCTAGGCGCTGTGGCATTTGCGGAGGAACTGGACATAATGCGCGAACTTGTCAGGCAGATGTAGAAAAAGATAATGAAAAGAATTCTGGTTAATTTCTTAGATGAATACGGGTTGTTGTTAATCTATCTAAGATGAAAGGTTGGGAGGTCGTGAAAAGTTGGGCAAAGACCCGTGTGGGGCATTGACCTGTGGGTGACGTTATTGTCTTTTTCACTTGGTTTTTTTTCTTCTTTTCCTGCACTGTCAAAACACGCCTCTATGACATAGCCTAGGACTAATTGCAAAAAGGGAGTTCTTTATAAATATATAACGTATTACAACTAGTTAAGTCATTATGGGTATCCGGGCATAAGGATTTGTTTCTTAATAAGGTAAACGACTACTAAGGTTGTTACGATAAGCTGTCTAATCTTCACTGTACTAATTTTATTCATACTACTATTAGCGCCTAATAGGAAGAACGTACTACAGGAAAGACAGTAAAGAGTACACTCGCACCTAGCGATTCATCGAAGAAATAACATGTCCACTTACTATTGAAAACGCAGATCATACTGGCAAGAAGGGAAAAGATACACATCCAACTGCTTAGCTATCTGTTGGACCAAATTGACCGTCAAAAGACGAGGGACCCACTCGTTGTAG